AAGAAAGCAGTGTGGAGATTCCTTGGAAATCTGGGAATGGAATTACCATTTGACAAAGCTATTACTCTCCTCAGACTATACCCAAAGGACTTAAAAACTGCATCCTGCAGGGACATAGCCACATCAAAGTTTATAGCAGCACAATTCACAATAGCTAAACTGTGGAGCCAACCTAGATGCCCTTCAGTGGATGAATGTCTAAAAAATTGTGACATATATAAAAAATGGAATTTTACTCAGCATTAAAAGAGAATAAAATCATGGCATTTACAGGTAAATGCATGGCATTGGAGAAGATAATGCTAAATGAAGTTAGAAAATCCCCCCAAAACAAATGCCAAATATTTTCTCAGCTTTAAGGAGGCTGACTCATACTGGGGTAGGAAGGGGGACAATGGGAGGAATAGATGAATTTTAGATATGGCAGAGGAGTGGGAGGGAAAAGAATGAAGTAGGAGATTAAAAGGATGATGGAATGTGATGGACACCATTATACAAATACATGCATGAAGACAAGAATTGGAGTCAACATACTTTATATACAACCAGAGGTATAAAAAATTGTGCTGTATACATGTAATAAGAATTGTAATACATTCTGCTGTAATTTATTTTCTAAAAAATCAAGTAAAATAAATAACAATGAAACAGAAAAAGAGGAAACCCTTCCAAACTCATTCTGTGAAGCTAGTATCACCCTGATACCCAAACCAGCCAGAGACACATCAAGGAAAGAAAATTTCAGACCCATATCCCCAAAAAACATAGATGCAAAAATTCTCAATAAAATTCTGGCAAATCACATACAAAAACATATGAAAAACAAACAAACAGAAAACAACAACAACAACAACAAAAAAAAAATGCACCATGATCAAGTTGTGTACTCCAGGGATGCAAGGTTGGTTCGACATACAGAAATCAATAAATGTAATTCATCACATCAATAAACTTAAAGAGAAGAATCCTATGATTACATCAATTGATTCAGAGAAAGCATTTGACAAAATACAGTACCTTTTCATGTTCAAAACATTAGAAAAAACTAGGGGTAGTAGGAATATACCTCAACATAGTAAAAGGTCTCTATGCTAACCCTAATGCTAACATCATTCTAAATGAAGAAAAATTGGAAGCATTCCATCTAAAAATTGTTCAACATAATCCTTGCCACTCTAGCCATAGCAATTAGATGAAAGAAATTCAAGGGAATACAAATAGGAAAAGAAGAACTCAAATTATCATTCTTTGCCAACAACATAATTTTACACTTGGAGGATCCAAAAAACTCCACCAGAAAACTTCTAGAATAATAAATGAATTTGGCAAAGTAGCAGGATATAAAATTAATACCCATAAATCAAATGCATTTCTATACATCAGTGATGAATACTCTGAAAGACAAATAGCAAAACTACCCCATTCACTGTATATATATATATATATATATCACAGCTTTTTTACTCATAGATGAATCTAGTATCATCCTGATAGTTAAACCAGGCAGAGAAAGATTTCCTTGGATAGTCATAGAAATAACAATCTGAGAGTGTTTGAAGTAAAACCAAAACATTGATAGTGGCAATAGAATAGAGAGATGTTCAGGAGAGAGAATTATCTAAGCTAGAAAACTAGCTGTGGCAGCTGGAAGTGTGGCTAGTGGTAGAACACTTGCCTAGCACATGTGAGACACTGTGTTTGATATTCAGCACTGCATAAAAATAAATAAATAAAATAAAGGTATTGTGTCCATGTCTAGGTAAAAATTATTAAAAAAAAAAAAAACTAACTGGGCAGTGAAAGAGAAATTGACAGTGATGTTTCACTTTCCAGTATAAGAAATGGGGAGTATATCCCACATACAAAGATGGAGCAATATTCAGTGGTGTTTTTTTTTTTTTCCTTCTGCTACTGAGTTCAGTAGTTCCTTCTACTTACATGCATTTTATCCTAATATAGTACTCTGAAACTAAGTTTGATGTGTGGTAATTATCATAATGAAACAAAGGATTCTTTCCCTAGACCCACCATCTTGACCCTTGACAAAAGTTTTGTAGTATTCTATAGCCTGAGGTTTCTCCACGCTTGTCAAGTCATAGTAAACTAACATTAAGGACATCTATTAGGAAAATCTCATACACTTTATGTGTTCTTCCTTTCAGGATAGTAGACCATTCTGAAAAAAACCTGATGAACTCAAAAACTTGGGGTGGTATTTGGACCCTGTCTCATGAGGACCAGGCCTACAACCACTCCTGGTACCATCTCTTCCTCCCTTTCTGCATATGCCAATCAGGCCCTGTTGGAAGAGTTCCTCATTACCAATGCACAGATGATCTTTGATGGGTCCCTAGAGCCACAAAATGTTTCATGTATTACTTATGTTGTTGCACCTCGAGTGGATGAAAGCCCTCCTTCCTAACCCATAATAGCAACAAAACATTCCACAAAGTCACAATATTTTTCTTCAAAGCAATTGAGTTTTGATCATTATAGAATTGCATTAAATTTGTGATGTTTATGTTAACAAGTTAATAGTCTTTGAACTTTTGGTTTTGAGATGTGTATTGCTTTTAGTTTAAAATTTTTCTTGTATCAATAGAATAGCCACACTGTAGATATTGAAATTGAAAATTTTGATTTGGCTACATCATTTGAGGAATCAGAATGCAAGCAAAATGCATTGCAAAAATGGGGTGCATGTCTCATTGGTGAGTGGTCATGTAACATATATGTTTGCATATTTCAAACCTTGCCAAGAAGTCATGATTAAAAACCAAGGTGAGAGCTGGGCTTGTAGCTCAGTGGTAAATCGATGCCTTGGCTTGTGTGAGGCCATGCGTTGGATCCTCAGTACAATATAAAAATAAATAAATGAAGATAAAAATATTGTGTCTGTCTACAATTCTCATTCTTTAAGAAAAAGGTGAATTAAGTTGAGATAAGTTCAAACTTCAAGGTTTTATTAGTTAACTTTGCTAGCCATTGAGAAAGTTTAATGAATGTCATTTAAATGAATATCATGCTTTGTTTCTTTCTTGTAAAGAGATATCTTGAAATTCATAAATTATTTTTGTTCTCTTTCTGAAATTTTTTTTTCACTTTTACTTCCTTGTCATCAATTAAATTCAAAACAGAAAAAAGCTGGACTCCTGAAACTTCAAAAAATAGACTCCTAAAGATTTTTGATGTCCCTTTACCTGTGTCCTAACTTTAGCACATTAAGCACACATGTCTTCCATTTTCTTGGCTCCAGTTTTTTTGTTCACTGTTTTTTGATCATTTTATTTCGGTGAATGGTTTCTGGTAAGGGGGTTGAAAACCTTCCATTCATTACTGCTTTAGTAGGGCTAACTCCGAATTTTTCAACATATAGCCATTTATGTTAAATTTGATAAATAAAATTAATGAAATATCAATGAGTGTAGACTGAGAAAGTCTGAACACAAAGACAGTCCATTACCTCTCTGCAAAGAAAAGCACTGGACTCACTGATTCCATTTATATGATTTGATCTTATTAGCAATTCTGTGCTATGAAACTTGGCCTCATTTAAGCCATAGCTAACACTCTGAGGAAGGTGAATAATACCAAGGGTCATGTCCCTAAATTATCATTGATTCAGGATTTGAATCTCATCCTGTCTCATTCCTAAATGTAACTTTGTTTCCCTGTCCAATGAAATTGGATTCCCAGGTAGGTATAGTAATAACAATAAAGAAATTTAAAATATTTGAAGTTTTCATTACATACAAGGTAATTCTGAGATTTTTCTATAGTAGATCATGAACACCACATACCAGTTTCCACATAGGAGTCTGTCTTGACAGAAGAAGGCCGGTAGGGCTAGTGCACTAGATTTGCCAGGGAAGAACTGGAGCAGGAGCTGATCCAGCACCGAGGAAGCTAGAAGTGGTGCTAGAAGTTCTGCAGGACTATAAATATGTTCTGGTGGTTGCCATCCAACCACAATGGCTCAGCTCCCTTCTATCAATGTGGAGAAGGGTCCAAGACAGCAAATCACATGAGCACTGCCTGGGAACCAGGGAAGAGAAGCCAGCAGCCTCAGTTGAAGAAGGAAGTCAGATGAGATGATGACCTGCAAGTGATGCTGTTGTGCATCTGTCTGCAAACCACTGCCCAAGGATATGGGAGAAGGACAAGGTGACAGGGATGAGGACTGTGGGCTATGAACAAGCTGTTGGAAAGCCATCAGACCAGTGGTAAGGCACAAAGTTTTCTGATGTTTCTCAGCAGGGAGAGGAGGATCATGACCAGAGGGCTGCACCTTTCTAGCAACAGCAGCTTCTGGGGTACATGCAGCAAAGGCAAAGTGTGAGGTGCTAGGGTTCTAGATGAGAAAACAGGGAACTTGGTACCAGACTAGAGGAGAAAGAGAAGGAGGTAAATCTGGAGTCTCCAGGACCAGTAGCACAATGGCAATTTTGACAGCTCTTCAACCATCCTTTCACCAGAGGATGCTGGCATGTATTAGTGGATCAGCTGGGAGAGCATCCAAGTCCTCTCTGGTGTGTTGCCCTTAGTATGGACAGAATGTAGCTGGAAAGCAGATTAAGTGACAGGCAAAGTCCTTGGGATTCAGGACACAGACTTTGTTAGTGTACCGAACACTGGAACAATGTTACTATTCTAGAGTTACCATTGTCTGCCTGTTGAAATCAGGAAAATCCTAACCCAGAAAATACTCATTTATGGGTAGTATATTAAAAATAAGTTACTTCAGGAAGTGATTTTTATAATTTTATGTGCTTTGTGATTATTTGTTCTTTTAAGATAAATTTTAAAAAGTAATGCTTTAATTAAGAATGTGCCTTTAATATTGTATGGATTTTTAATTCCTCTGCATAGATGACTGAGAAAATAATGTTGGAAAAAATATGTAAGCCTGTGTTGTTTGAGAGAATGCCTATTCATAAATAACCACACTTCCTTATTAACCACGCTCCATGAAGTTAAAAAAAAAATCTCTTCTTTTTCAGATAACAAAGAACTTGAATTATCATCACAAAAGATGGACAATATGTGTAAAACCACAAAACCAGTTAGTCTGAAATATGATGTGACAACAAATGATACACAGAGGCCTATGCCAAGCACAAAGATCAGATGTTTCTGTTTTCCTGTAGATAGGTTTTATCTTGCAAGCTCTCCTAACGAGAAAAACAGCAGAAATGTGGGAAATGTCAACTCAGACAAATTTAGCCAGAATCTTACCTTTGAAGGGCTTAATAGAAAAGATACCCCTTCTACTGTTGGCTCCCAATTTAATGGTTTTAATCAGCAGATTCCAAAAAAAATCCTCAGGGATAGCAATGTGAACCAAAGAACTTAACTGGCATGAGTATAGTGATTGTGCCAAGTACACTCCAGGAAAAGGGGACAATGAGCATCAAGGTTAGTGGTGACCATTCTAGCAGTTCCACACAGCCCAACATGCCAGCCAGATCAGCAAGAGAGGCACCAGTGAGACTGTCCTCTCATTCTCACCATCTTGCTCCTGCAAGAGTATCCAGAATACTGCAACCCCATCTCGGGACAACATTTTACAAACAACCTACCCCAACCAGCAAAGTCAGGGGGATTGAGGAGAGACCAGCTTCACCTTCAGCAACAGTGCCTCCTAGCACAGCTCTTACTCCCCTGAGTCATGTGGAGAAATCAGTTCCAGAGGCAGACAGCACATCAGCTTATGCTTTGAAGCCAGCTGCTAAGCCTAAAGAGAACTCTGAGGAGCTTGGCCTACCTGACATAAATCCAATGTGCCAGGGACTCAGGCTAAAACAAATGGAAGAATTACAAGACCTTGAATTTGAAATGCCACAGTTTGTGTAGTGTTGTCAAAATTCAAGAAAAATCTTTTTCTTGTTTCATTTTTATGTATTGTGTTTATTTATGAAAGAATGTGGTAACAGAATCTCTTTTGTATAGGATGGCCAAAGTGTGTATTTTGCCTTTTGGCCTTGTATTGTGTTTGCTAGTCATATAGAATGGTAGTGTTTTAGTCATATAGAATGACAGTGCCTCACTGGTATTATCTTTAAATCCTGTGTTTTTGAAGTTATGCATAAAATAAGTATTATAATTTTAAATTTCAAATAATTTTCTCTATAAAATGATCCATGTAAATGCATCCTTAATGTATAATATTGTTCTCAACAAATAGGGGCAGTAGGGGAAAATGAGCTTTATTTTGGAGCATACATGGTGCTGATTCATAAAATGCTTCTGAAGGCAAGTGCCTGAAAAATCTTTACTGGGTATGAATATATTTTTCCCACATAATGTTCTAGTGCATCTTTGACCACTTGTGTTGTTATAGCATGTGTAGAAGCATTGGCAATTCACTTAACTTTTTAATATTTACATAGTGGCCAAAAAGCTTGTGAATCTGTGTTTACTAGCATTCTACTTGTCAATTTTTACATATGCTAATTAATACAATTGTAGAAAGAAAATGCACTTCAATACTAAAAAGTTTGAGACATTGGCAGAGACAACGCAGACGGACAGAGTTGAGGCATCTCAAGTGTGAGAGAACTGTAACCTCACTCCTCTCAGCTGCGACCTGTTGCTGGATTGCCTGCGACTTCTGGCTGTCTGCTGAGGAAAGCAAGTGGCCAACAGCTAGGGCAAGATGAAGCTCTATCTGGTGGCCACGGTTCTGCTGCTGCTCTGTGCAGCATGGTGGAAAATGAGGACAAGAAAAGGATGAGGGTATCGTGGTCGGCATCGACCTGGGGACCACTTACTGCTGCATCAGGGTGTTCAAGAATGGCCACTGGAGATCATCTCCAATGATCAGGGCAACCATATCACGCTGTTTCATGTGGCCTTCGCCCCTGAAGAGGAATACAGTCAAGAATCAGCCAGCGATACAGTCAAGAATCAGCTCACCTCCAATCCTGAGAACACAATCTTCAATGCCAAGCACCTCATTGGCAGCACTGGGAATGACCCTTCTGTGCAGCCAGACATCAAGTTCTTGTCTTTCAAAGTGTTGAAGAGAAACCTAAACCATACATTCAGGTTGATATTGGAGGTGGGCAAACTAAGATATTTGCTCCAGAAGAAATCTCTGCTATGATTCTCACTAAAATGAAAGAGACTCCTGAGGCTTATTTGGGAAAGAAGGTTACCTATGCAGTTGTTACTGTACCAGCCTATTTTTATTATGCCCAGTGGCAAGCAACCAAAGATGCTGGAACTATTTCCGGTCTGAATGTTATGAGGATCATCAATGAGCCTACAGCAGCTGCTATTGCTTATGGCCTGGATAAGAGGGAAGGAGAGAGGAACATTGTGGTGTTTGATCTCTGTGGAGAAACCTTCCGTGTGTCTCTTCTCCCCATTGACAATTTGATGTCTTCGAAGTCATGGCCACTAAAAGAGATACTCATCAGGGTGGAGAAGACGTTGACCAGCATGTTATGGGACACTTCATCAAGCTGTACAAAAAGAAGATGTTAGGAAAGACAGCAGAGCTGTGCAGAAACTCCAGTGTGAAGTAGAAAAGGCCAAGCGAGCCCTGTCTTCTCAACATCAGGCAAGAATTGAAATTGAGTCCTTCTATGAAGGAGAAGACTTTTCTGAAACCCTGACTTGGGTGAAATTTGAAGAGCTAAACAAGAACTTGTTCTAGTCTACCATGAACCCTGTTCAGAAAATACTGGAGGATTCTGACTTGAAGAAGTCTCATATTGATTAGGTTGTTCTTTTGGTGGCTCTACTCAAATTCCAAAGATTCAGCAACTTGTTCAAGAGTTCTTCAATGGCAAGGAGCCATACTGTGGCATAAACCCAGATAAGGTGGTTGGATATGGTGCTGCTGTCCAGGCTGGTGTACTCTCAGGTGACCAAGATACAGGTGACCTAGTACTGCTTGATGTATGTCCCCTGACACTTGGTATTGAAACTGTGGGAGGCATCATGACCAAATTGATACCAAGGAACACTGTGGTACCCACCAAGAAGTCTCAGATCTTTTCTACAGCTTCTGATAATCAACCTACTGTTTCAATCAAGGTCTATTAAGGTAAATAACCCCTGACAAAAGACAACCACCTTCTGGGTACATTTGATCTCACTGGAATTCCTCCTGTGGGGTCCCCCAGATTGAAGTCACTTTTGAGATACATGTGAATGGTATTCTTTGGGTGACAGCTGAAGACAAAGGTACAGAGAACAAAAATAAGATTACAATTACCAATGACAAAAATTGCCTGACACCTGAAGAAATTGAAAGGATGGTTAATGATACTGAGAAGTTTGCTGAAGAAGACAAAAGACTCAAGGAGTGCATTGATACTAGGAATGAGTTGGAAAGCTACATTACTCTCTAAATTATCAAATTGGAGATAAAGAAAAGTTGGGAGGCAAACTTTCCTCTGAAGATAAGGAGACCATGGACAAAGCTGTAGAAAAATAGATTGAATGGCTGGAAAGCCGCCAAGATGCTGACATTGAAGACTTCAAAACTAAAAAGAAGGAACTAGAAGAAACTGTTCAGCCAATTATCAGCAAACTCTATGGAAGTGCAGGCCCTCCCCTAACTGGTGAAGAGGATACAGCAGAAAGAGATGAGTTGAAGACACTGATCTGCTAGTGCTGTAATATTTTAAATACTGACTCAGGAACTTTCATTAGGAGAAAAATGAGAGAACTTAAGTCTCTAATTTAATTGGAATCTTCACCTTAGATTGGAGTTGAAAATGCTATAGACCAAGTGGCTGTTTATTGCTTTCCATTAGCAGTTGCTCACATGTTTTGGGGTGGAGAGAGAGGAGGAATTGGCTACCTTAAAAAACTGGATATAAAAATGTGGGTGAGGATGTGTGTTCACCTCAGAAACGTTCTATTTAATGAGTGTGTCATGTGCTTCTGGTGTAGGAACTTTATTTTACCATAAGTGACACCAATAAATGTTTGTTATTAAAAAAGTACTAAAAAGTTTGGAAGTGTCATAAAATAAAAATTTATACAGATAAAGCTAAGAGCTAAAACACTATCAGAAGCAGTATAACCATCTAAAGCCAAATAACTAAAATATAAAATTTAAATTAGTATGTATTTATATATTATATATTATGTATTATATATTATATACTACATATTATAGAATTACATATCTATATGATATATTATAAGTCATTTATATATAATTATAATATAATCCATATATTTTATATATGATATTAATATAAATTATACTAATATAATAATTGTATTATTATCTTATTAATAATAGAAATTATATTATTATATAATTAATTACAAGGATATGTAATATTATATAAATTAATATAGATCTAAATATATTATATGATATATAATACATATGTTATATATAATAAAATAATAATTATATATTTAATTTATATATTATTTTATCATATGTGTATATAATATATATGTATTTAATATATTATATATGATTTATATTAAATATATATAAAACATATATTTTTATATATAATATATAATTTATATAATATATATTTTATATATATTTACATTAATATATAATTTATATAAGAATATATAAATATATTATATAAATATATTATATAATTCATATATCAAATGAACAATACGTTACTGAATGATCAATGGGTTACAGAAGACATAAAGGAAGAAATCAAAAAATTCTTAGAGATAAATGAAAATACAGACACAACATATCGGAATCTATGGGACACAATGAAAACAGTTTTAAGAGGGAAATTCATCGATTGGAGGTCATTCCTCAAAAAAAGGAAAAACCAACAAATAAATGAGCTCATACTTCATCTCAAAGCCCTAGAAAAGGAAGAGCAAAACAACAGCAAATGTAGCAGAAGGCAAGAAATAATTAAAATCAGAGTGGAAATCAACGAAATTGAAACAAAAGAAACTATTGAAAAAATTAACAAAACTAAAAGTTGGTTCTTTGAAAAAATAAATAAGATCCACAGACCCTTAGCCATGCTAACGAAGAGAAGAAGAGAGAGAACTCAAATCACTAACATACGGGATGAAAAAGGCAATATCACAACAGACACTACAGAAATACAGAAGACAATTAGAAATTATTTTGAAAACCTATATTCCAATAAAATAGAAGATAGTGAAGACATCGATAAATTCCTTAAGTCATATGATTTTCCCAGACTGAGTCAGGAGGATACTCACAACTTAAACAGACCAATAACAATAGATGAAATAGAAGAAGCAATCAAAAGACTTCCAACCAAGAAAAGCCCAGGACCGGATGGGTATACAGCGGAGTTTTAAAAAACCTTTAAGGAAGAATTAATACCAATACTTTTCAAGTTATTTCAGGAAATAGAAAAAGTAGGAGCTCTGCCAAATTCATTCTATGAGGCCAACATCACCCTGATTCCTAAACCAGACAAAGACACCTCAAAGAAAGAAAACTACAGACCAATATCTCTGATGAACCTAGATGCAAAAATCCTCAATAAAATTCTGGCAAATCGGATACAAAGGCACATCAAAAAAATTGTGCACCATGATCAAGTAGGATTCATCCCTGGGATGCAAGGATGGTTCAATATATGGAAATCAATAAATGTTATTCACCACATCAATAGACTTAAAAATAAGAACCATATGATCATCTCAATACATGCAGAAAAAGCATTCGACAAAGTACAGCATCCCTTTATGTTCAAAACATTAGAAAAACTAGGGATAACAGGAATTTACCTCGACATTGTAAAAGCTATCTATGCTAAGCCTCAGGCTAGCATCATTCTCAATGGAGAAAAACTGAAGGCATTCCCCCTAAAATCTGGAACAAGACAGGGATGCCCTCTATCATCACTTCTATTCAA